GATTCTCCAGCATCTGCAGTTCCTACTATCTCTGATTCAACATCAGTTTGTGTTTTGATCATGGTAAAGGAAGATGAGACAATGCTGTACTCTGGCTGTTGACACCAATTTTCTCAGTTACCTCTTGTGTCCATCTGAAGAGACAAGTCACAGAATTGAAACATTAACCCTTCCTTCCCCACAGATGCTGCCAGACCTGCTTACAAGCACTGCACGCTCTGTTTTTATTTCAGATTTCAAACATTTTGTTTCACTTACAAAGAACTGGAAATAGAAAAGATTCAGCTGTAACTGAAATAATATTCTTACTGGACTGAGATTTTTCTAAAAAAAAAATTTACAAAAGCCTTTTACCTCAAACATGTTCAACGCCTCTCTGCATGCTGAGAACCACAGTTTTAGGCTTGTCATTGTCACAGTGTTGCTTTGAATTTTATATCTTTGATGTTGCCGTGGATCACAGGGTGACCAAGCAGCTCTTTTTGGATTCGATTAAATGTAGTTAAGAGAATGCTCAACAATAGCAATTTGCTTAATTATGAACATTTATTGAGTAATAATAAAAAGAATGAAAAAGATAGGAACATTTATTAAGTAAATAAAAAGAATGAAAAAGGAAAAGAAAAACAATAAGCCTCAAGTCCTTCTGCCCATCAGGGACCCCTCGATCAATAGTTGGTCTGCAAGCTGAGGTTGTTCCTGGCACCATTTGCGATCCTGGTCCAAGGTGAAGTCCAGCAACTTGGAACAAAACTCTCTCTTATACAGTGTAATAAACAGCAAGGCACAGAAAAAAACAACTACAGAAAAAACTGTTGATTGTGCCCACTTTGGCACGTACAGGAATGTTCACAGGACTCATTCAAGGTCATGCAGCTGTCGAATGTCATCAACAAGTTTAGCCCTTCAGCCCACTTGGAGACAGTAAGGACTGTACAAGTTGGAAGCCAGAGTCAATAAATGTGGAGCTGGAAAAGCACAGCAGGTCAGACAGCATTCGAGGAGCAAGGAAGTCAACATTTCAGGCTGAAACTCTTTGTCAGGACTGGGGAGGGGAGCATAGAAATAAATAGAGGGACATGGGTGGGACCGGGGAGAGGGTAGGTGGGATGGAGTTAGGTGGATGCAGGTAGGGGGTTATTGTGGCTGGTCAGTGGGAAGGCTGGAGCAGATTTGTAAGTCAGAACATGGACAGGTTGGGGGTGGAGACATTTTGAAGCTGGTGAAGTCAATATTCAGGCCATTGGGCTGTAAGCTCCCAAGAATCTGCCAGTGGAGGAAGCCAAAGATGGACATGTCACCAGGGGAGTTAAAGTGGATGGCAACCAGAAGGTCGGGTTGGTTCGTATGTGCAGAGCGCAGGTGCTGTGAACCAGTCCTCAAGTCTGTGTTTGGTCTCCTGATATAGAGGACACCACATTGGGAGCAACAGATACAGGAGATGAGGTTAGATGAAATACATGGGAATCTCTGCCAGATTTGGAAGGATTGTTTGGGGCCTGGAATGGAGGTGAGAGGGGAGGTGTAGGGGCAGATATGGCACCTCCTACAGTTGCAGGGAAATGTACCGGGTGTGGTGGAGAGTATGGAGCAGACAAGGGAGTCTCGGAGTGAATAGTCCCTGCAGGAAGTGGATAGGGGTGGGGAGGGAAATATCTTTTTGGTGGTGGGTTCTGATTGTAGGTGGTGGAAACATCAGAGGATGATGTGTTGGATTTAGAGGTTGGTGAGATAGTATGTGAGGACTAAGGGGACGCTATCCTTATTGTTGTTGGAGGGGAGAGGGTTTGAGGGCAGAAATGCAGGAAATAGGGGAGATGCAGTTGAAGGTATCCTTAATAACAGAGGAGGGGAAACTACAGTCCCTAAAGTGGGCAGATATCTGGGAAGTTCTAGAGTAGAATGTCTCATCCTGGTAGTGGAGGCAGAGGAATTGGGAGTAAGGGAGGCTGGGAGGAGTGGGTGTAGCCAAGGTAATTGTGGGTTTGAAATGAATGTCAGTGGCGAGTCAGTCACCGGAGATGGACAGGTCCAGGAAGGGGAGGGAGGTGTTATAGATGGTTCAGGTGAACTTGAGGGGGCTGTGGAAGGTGTTGGCGAAGTTGATAAACTGTTGGAGCATCTTGTGGGAGCATGAGGCAGCACCGATACAGAGATCAATATAGCAGAGGAAGAGGTGAGAGATGGTGCCGGTGTAGTTGTTGAAGAGGGGCTCTTCCATGAATCCTACAAAGAATCGGGCATAGCTCGGACCCATGCAGATGTCCAAGGCCACCCCTTTGGTTTGCAGGAAGTGGGAGGAATCAAAGGTAAAATTGTTGAGGGTGAGGACCAATTCCACCAAGAAGAGGAAGAAGCGGAGGGTTTTTATGCTATCTTTGTTGGGGATACAGGGACTGTGCGTCCATGGTGAAGATGAGGTGTTGGGGGCCAGGGAATTGAAAGTTTTGGAAAAGGTGGTGGGCATGGGTTGTGTCCCAAATGTAGATAGGGAGTTCCTGGACCAAAGGGGAAAGAACGGAGTCAAGGTAGGAGATGAGCTTGGTGGGGCAGCAGCAGGCAGAGACAGTGGGTCAACAGCAGCAGTTGGATTTATGGATCTTGGGTCGGAGATAGAAACGGGTGGTATAAGGTTGGGGAACTATGAGGTTAGAGGCTGTGGACAAGAGCTCTCCTGAGGTGTTGAGGTTGTTGATGGTCTGGGAGATGTTGGCTTGGTGATCAGAGGTGCGTTCGTGATCGAGGGGATGGTAGGAAGTGGTGTCAGAGTTGGCACCTAGCCTCAGTGATGTAGAAGTCAGTTCGCCATAGTACCACTGCACCCCACCCCTTGTCGGCAGGTTTAATGGTGAGGTTCAGGTTGGAGCAAAGGGAGCGGAGGGTTTTGCGTTCCGATGGGGAGAGGGTGGAGTAACTGAGAAGGATGGAGAAATCCAAACGATTGACGTCGTGGGGCAGTTGGAGATGAAGAGGGCAAGGAAGAGTAGGAGGTTGAGAGGGGGTGTCTAGGAGGATGGAGTTTGCTGGATGTGGGAGATGGGATCGTCAGAAGGTGGGTTGGATTCTCGTTTAAAGAAATAGGTGTGGAGGCGGAAGCAGTGGAAAAAGAGCTCAACATGGAGGCGTGCATGGAATTTGTTCATGTGTGGGCCCACGGGAATGAAGGTGAGTCCTTTGTCGAGGACTGACCTTTCAGCTTCAGTGAGGGGGAGGTCTGGTGAATACCCTGCAGGGCTTGGGGCCGTGGCTGGGTGTTGAGCTGGAGTTAGGAGCAGGGATGGAGATTACAGCTAGAGCGAGGGTGTGTACAGGAGCGGGCACACAGGCACAAGAAGAAGTAATGACTTCGTCGGCAGCCATCACATGGTTGTCCCACCCCATAAAGATGTTCAGCCCATCTTATCCAGATGTTCTCCCTGGGCTTTTGTTTTTATTCACATATGCTATCACAGCTTGGTATTGGGTATATTGCCAGGTACCTTCAGGCAACACTCAAATGGAAGGTATAAACATTCAGGGAGCAAGGAAGGAACAGGAATACCACACAAACAAGGCCACCTCTTCCTTTATTATTGAGGTTCAGCAGAAAAATACAAACATTCTAACATAATTGGTAAACATCACTTAATAGATAAATATAAAACAATCACATGAGAACTAGCAGCAGCAAAAAAGGATTTGAAATCAACTTCATCTTTATACAATTAGGCAAGAATTTCATAACCAAGGGAGTGGCTTTAACAGATGGAGGGCACCAGTAAGACAGCTGTGAACTGTGTCTCAGCCCAGCAATGGTCTCTTGTAGCTACTTAGCATCTCCACAGGTCTTCTTGTCTCTGAAGAACTGTAACCCAAAGCATAAGAAATGGAGACTTGTTAAACATTTCACGTAATACTCTTCTTCAAACCAAGTGATTGTATTAAAGGACTATCATTTTTGAGATTAATGTTACATCATTCACTCTCCACAGTTCATTGGGAGTGATAATCTCACTGTCCCACTGCAAGTTGACTGGAGTTAAATGTAACATCTCACCTTTCCAATGGCTCCAAGGGCAGGTCCAAATGAAGCTTCTGCTTGTGTACGTGCTCTGATCCAAGTTGGCAGTTTGCTAAGGATGTTGGGCCGGGTGTAGCGATGATCCAAAAGGACAATAGAGGCATAGTCCTCACGGTGGCGAATGGCTCGCCCTACAAACAGCACAGTGCATAAACAACAGGAATCTTTGCCCTCAAGGGCAATTAGGGATGGGCAATAAATACTGGCCTGGCCAGCTACATCCCCCCGATTGAATTAAAAAAGGTTTCTTACAACCGTACTACACAAGTCATACGTTGTGGGAACTGCGAGACAGCACAAAGCACTTTCTCTCCACAGATGACTGCTGCTCCTTTCAAGCCTGTAAACCATTTCAATTGGTCCGTTGCTAATATTAATAGACTGCAATAGTGACTGGTAAGAATCAAAAGTCAATAGATTCACTCTTCCCAATGCTTTGTTGAAGGAAAATGGGGCTATTTTTCAGGCCTAGATTGGAGAAAGTCAGACAGTACAGGGACAGTAAAAGAGTTGAGAATGGTGGAGTAAGACTGGTATACACAAGTATGGTCAGTGCACACTTGGAAATATACCTGCCCATGCCCCCACACCCAATGACTGCTGATGAAGATAAGGCAAAGGAGGAAACCAAGAATAGATCTTCGGGGGATAGGGAATGTAACACTGCAGGGATCTGAGGCCAGGTTGGTAATCTCCTGGATAAGATCGATTATATAGTCGACAAAGGGAAGTCTGTCTTCAGAAGCTGCACAGTGGATGGATGGTACTAGAGGAGAAGAGTGTGGGTCACCAGGATGATGGTTACAGAGGATATGAAGAGGATAAGGAGGGATTCTGCACTAATGTCGCAGTTAATATATCAGGATGTGTACTTAAAAATTACCATAACCTCACCGCTCCCTTCACTCAGTCTCACTGTGAACTCAATCTCACCATGACCTCACTGTACCCATTGCTCAGTCTAAAAATTACCACAAAGTTTCATGTCTATCACCTTCACAGTAGTATGTTGGTGTAAGTAACTTCTGAACTACAGTCCTTAACCCTATGGGGATGCTGCACAGACACCTACCTATTGACTGGTTAACAGCTTTCATGCAGAGATTTTCTACGAGAAGTTTTCCTGGAGTCTTCCCATCAGTTTTTGGCTGGAGAATTAAAATACAAAAAAGTGAATAAGAAAGATACTTCACATGTTCACAGGCCTAGAGCAAATTACAAGCCATTTACCCAGTTCATAAATCATATTACAAACACCACTCCTGGTCTCATCCACTCTCCACAAACACCACTCCTGGAGCAGCCCACGTTATTCCGTTTTCCTGAATCTGGATTACATTACAAGCACCAACTGAAGCCTGCCCATGTTCTAGATGGAAAACAACTGGCTGCTAAAGAAAATCCAAGACAAAGTTGGATGGTGTAATTAAATCGAAGGACAAAAGTTTGCGTTGTTACATTTGTTAAATAGAGGAAAACTGCAGTCTGCTGCTTTCAAAGAGAATTGATTATTTACAATTTGGAAAATTATGTTGCATTTACATTGTGCCTTTCATGGCCAATTGAGTCCCAAAGCCTTTTACAACAATGTAAAAAACACAGCAGCTAATGTGAGCACAGCAAGGTCTGGGAAACAAAAGTGAGGTAACTAGATATTGTGCTTTGTGATGTTGATGTAGGAATAAAGACTGGCCAGGACAACTAGGAAAGACTCCCTTATCCTACTTCAAAACTTAAGACCTCATTTGTCCTCTTGGATGAACATAAGACTCATGCATCTGTGACAGTCATCTCCCCAGCAGGGCCAGACACACTTGGCTGAACTGATCAAACCAAGACATTCCTTTTATTCTCTCGCTCCCTGTATAGTAAAGTAATGTACAGAATTCTCATAGAACTGGGAAATCCAGCAGCTTTTAAAGGGCTGCTGCAATATGAGGTATACAGCAACACCTCTGGAATAGAAAATCCACTCTCCCAGCATATTGGAAAGGAAGTAGTGTTGTCCACATTTGAGGACATTCCACTAACTCTCTGCCTTGCCCTGAAAGAAGACTAGAAAGATTTGTATTGCATTGAGGATGGTTAACACTTCCACATTTAGTACAAAATCAAAATACAGCAGATGCTGATAATCTGAAAGATAAAGTGAAAATGCTGAAAATCAGCATTGCTCCATAGATGCTGCCTGACCTATTGGGAATGCTATAATTTTCAATTGTCATTCCACAGTTAATGGAGATTTTCAGAAGACCCTGTTTCAGAAGGTACATTTCCTGCAATTCCTATTCACACAGATCAAAGCAGCATGAGAATAGGCATCAGGGATAGAGTTAACAGAGCAGAGTGATCAGTTCCACCAGGGCCAACAAACTGAACCTTCATATAAACATGCTTATATGTTTTGCATAAGGTTAGTCTGATGTCACCATTCTCCTACTGCCTCCAAAGGAATTTAATCAATCCTTTAGTCAAAGGGAATTTGCATCACAGAAGCTGCAAGGCACAATGATACTTTGCACACAGCCGTTTCAAATTCAATTCTCACCCACATTATCACTGGCGCAAACAACATGCAAGAGAAGGTAGGAGTGACTCTGAATCCTAAAGGAGCCTGGCATCTAGGATGGTGTGAGCAAATGCGTTCTTCCTACAGATAGCAACAATGGAGGTACTCTAACCATGGAATCACAGGAACTAGAGATAAAAAGAGTTTGAAGGTGGCTCTCTCTGTTACTTGTTATTGGCGAAAGTGAACAGGCTGGTGGGAGAGAGGAGGGAATGGAAAGGGGAACACACAGTTGTATGAAGTATTACAATAGATTTAACTCAAATGACGACTGTGGGAATGTATAAACATTGGGAGGAGAGACATAGCAGCGTGTTGAGTTTCCCTGTCACAGACCATCTTTTTAACAGGGTTCATGCTTCTAACTGAAAACACAAGTTAATGTATCGAAGTAAGATCTTGTCACATGTGCTACACCCAAAGGCCAGTCTCACTGGCTGCTGATGCTTCATCCTGGACTGTTTTTGTGCCAGTTTTTAATCCATGCTGATTTGTCAGCAATTCTACTCTCAGAGGCAGGGTGAGGACACAGGTCCCCAAAGCACCTCAGCTGGAACAGGAATGGAGCCTGTGCTGTTCATGTGATTCCGAATCATACATTAGACATCTACATAAACACTGGGCCACACAGGTAACAAATGCAGGGCGAGACTGGATCTGGAATGGGCTTCCACGTAAAAACTGAGGACATCGACATCTACACACAGTACATGTATGTAGTGCTGTCAATATCTGGATTATGAAGCAAGTTAAATTCAGGCGCAGCCACAACATACCAGGGTCTTGTCCAGATAAGCCATTTTCTCCTGGAGCTCTGGTGAATTGATATTAGGAAACGGCATTCCGACCATTACCACACACCTGTAACAAAACATAGCCGTGACATGATGGACAAAGACTGGTTCGAGGTAAATACAGATCAAGGAAACAGCTGGGATCCTGCCATTTCCAATCTGTGTAAATAACCTTGGATGCTAAAACAATTCCAAATTGATGTTCCAAAGGGAACTAAAGTAAGATCAACAAACTTGATCAAGTGCTGCTCCTTGATCAAGGAATCCTGCAACATTTATGCACCAAATCCCATTCACCCATGGCATTTATGCTCATTCAGCTACACTGGCAATCCTCACCAGCATTTTTATGTACTTCCCCAGTCTCGCCCCTAACTGTACCTGGAACCTCCTTCAGCTTGCCAGATCTTTGTTCTTATCATTTGTCCCGATATCTTTCTGGCATGTTGCCAAATTTTGTCCAATAATATTTCTGTGAAATGGCGACATTAAGTGCACTGTAAATTCGTAAGTTACTGTTGTAATACAAAATGAACAAATAGCAATGATAATTTCTAATAATAAATGTAAAGAATGATACTCTGGCAGTAAATTCCACATAGTCACTTGATAACAAGTCTGGAGTTATGCCTGAACCTGATGAGGCATTAATTAGATAGCTCTCCACACCACTGAGTTCTGATCACGCCACATTCTGTCTAGGCTGTAAATGCTGGGAAACAAACGACATGAGTTTTTCCAAGCGTAAAGGGGATTTAAGAGGCGTCAGTTAGTCTGGATCAACAGTACACAGGAGGTGAGGAAATGGCTAATTGTCCAAGAACCCTGAATTTTACTTCAAGTCATATCAGCTGGACCAAGGGACATTTATTAAATGGAGAAAAAGTCAACTTAAAGCAGATTTTCTCAGTGAGAAATGTGATTAAAACTTTACTGGACAAGGTAGGGAAGACAGAGGCACCAGGCAGACATCTGGGCAATAAGGAAGGAAACATGGGAGCAGGTTTCTCAGCCCCTCCAGTGTGTGTCATTATTTAAGCGGACTATGCCTGATCTGCATCCTAGCTCCAACAACTTGCCTTGGCTTCATTTCTTTAATACCCTTGTCTAACAAACATCTATAAATCTTGGTTTGTAATTTTTATTTGGCTCCTGTTGTTGCCAGCCAGAATTCCAGAGAAGAAGCGTTTCCTGAAACAACACTGAATGGGCTAGCTCTAAATTAAATTTATACAAACATAAGAACAAGGAACACAAACAGGCCACTCGGCCCTTTCAGCCTGCTCCCCCACTCAATAAGATCATGGCTGATCTGATTTTAACCGCAACTCTATATTCCTGCATATCCCCGATAATCTTTCATTCCTTTAAAGTTTTGGCAAAGATCTGTAGCTCGGGTTGTGGGTGAAGTTGTTGACTTGCTCGCCAAGCTGGCTTGTTTTTGTTCAGACGTTTTGTCACCGTGCTAGGTGACATCATCAATGAAGCCTCCAATGAAACGATGTTGTTCTATTCCACTTGGAATTTATAATGTCTGGTCCGTTATGGTAAGTAGTGTCATCTCTGGTCTTGATCTATATGGGTTTGTATATGGGGTCCAATTCTATATGTTTGTTGATTGAAGTATGGGTGGAGAACCATGCCTCTAGGAATTCCCGTGCCTGTCTGTGTTTGGCTTGGATTACTATGGTTACCTTGTCCCAGTTAAACTGATGGCCTTCATTGTCTGAGTGTACCGATATTAAGGAGAGTTTGTCGTGCCGTTTTGCTGCTAGTTGATGTTCATGTATTCTGATGGCTACTTTTCCTTCCTGTCTGTCCGATGTAATGTTTGTGGCAGTCGTTGCATGGAATTTTGTAAACTACATTGGTTCTGCATGTTGTGGGAATGGGGTCTTTAATCCTTGTGAGTGTTTGTTGCAGCGTGGCTGTGGGCTTCCGGACCACCATAATTCCTAGTGGTCTTAGGAGCCCTGACAGGAACTGACAACAAGACAACTTTGACCCTTCTAAACACTAGAGGATACAGACCTAGTCTGTCTAGCCTCTCGCATCAGGCAATGTGCACATTCCAGGGATTAATCTAGTAAACCTTCTCTGAACTGTTGCCAACACATTAACATCCTCCTCAAGTAGTGGCCAGTAGTGTATACAATACTCCAGATGCAGTCTCACCAATGCCCTATATAACTGAAGCATTACCTCCCTATTCTTGTATTCAATTCCCCGCACAATAAACCATAACATTCTATTAGCTTTCCTGGTTAATTACTGTGCCTGCACACTAACCTTCTGTGATTCATTCACTGTACTAAGTCACCTAGATCTCTCTGCATCTCAGAGCTCTGCAACTTCTAACTATTTAGATAATATGCTTTATTTTCCTTCCTGCCAAAATGGACAATTTCACACCACCCTACATTGTACTGCATTTGCAGATCTTTGCCTGCTCATTTAACCTATCTGTATTCCTTTGCAGGCTCCTTAGGCCCTCTGCACAATTCAGTTTCCTACCTATCTTTGTGTCATCAGCAAATTTGATTACCATATCCTTGATCTCTTCACCCAAATCATTTACATAATTTATAAAAAGAGTCCAGGTCCCAGCACTGAGCCCTATAGAACATAGAACATAGAACATTACAGCGCAGTACAGGCCCTTCGGCCCTCGATGTTGCACCGACCTGTGAAACCAATCTGAAGCCCATCTAACCTAAACTATTCCATTATCATCCATATGTTTATCCAATGACCATTTAAATGCCCTTAAAGTGGGCGAGTCTACTATTTTTGCAGGCAGGGCATTCCACGCCCTTACTACTCTCTGAGTAAAGAACCTACCTCTGACATCTGTCTTATAGCTATCACCCCTCAATTTAAAGCTATGTCCCCTCGTGCTAGCCATCAACATCCGAGGAAAAAGGCTCCCACTGTCCACCCTATCTAATCCTCTAATCATCTTGTATGTCTCTATCAAGTCACCTCTTAACCTTCTTCTCTCTCACGAAAACAGCCTCAAAACCCTCAGCCTTTCCTCATAAGACCTTCCCTCCATACCAGGCAACATCCTGGTAAATCTCCTCTGCACCCTTTCCAATGCTTCCACATCCTTCCTATAATGCGGTGACCAGAACTGTACGCAATACTCCAAGTGCGGCCGCACCAGAGTTTTGTACAGCTGCAACATGACCTCATGGCTCCGAAACTCAATCCCTCTACCAATAAAACCTAATATACTGTATGCCTTCTTAACAACGCTATCAACCTGGGTGGCAACTTTCAGTGAACTATGGCACACCACTCTTAATTCTTGCCGGCCTGAAAAAGACCAGCTTATTCCTACTCTCTGCTTCATGTTACCAGGCAAATCTCTATCCATGCCAATCTGCCTACATCATGAGCTTTTATTGTCTGCAATAGCCTTTGATGTGGCACCTTACTAAATTACTTCTGGATATCAAGAAGTACAATACTCACTTTGGAATTTACATTGCCAACCAAACAGCTTGTTCTTAGCCACTCTTCAAAATCTTTTACAGCACATTAAAGACATCAATTAGATCACTCGGTAATGCTGTATATTGAAGGGAAATTTGCAAGCTGGTTTTTGATGATTGGTCCACTCAGATCGACCACCCTACCCCATCCCTGTACCCCTACATTTCCCACAGCTAACCCACCCAGCCTACACATACCTGGACAATATGGGCAATTTACTATGGCCATTCCACCTAGGGAATGCAGGAGGAAACCGGCGCATCTGAAGGAAACCCATGCAGAAACAGGGAGAATGTACAAATTCCACACAATCGCCCAAGGCTGGAATTGAACAGAGGTCCCTGACGCTGTGAGGTAGCGGTGATAATCAATGAGCCACTGTGCCATCCTATTTAATGCTGCATCCTCTCAAAGGCTTTTTAATTTTTATTCTGCTGTCCAGAAATGAATGCAGTTCTTTTAAATGGGAGGCTAATCAGAGCTTTATGTAACTAACATAATCATAAGCATTTTCAATTCCAGTCCTCTTGAGATATTAGCCTGTTTTTTAAAATCAAATTCACATTGTTCCACTAGGGCTATGGAGATTGGGACTAGCTGGGTTGCTCTTTTGGGAGCCAACACAGACACAATAGGTCAAATGGCCTCTTTCTGTTTTGTAAAGTTCTGTGATTGTAAATGACAACTTTGGTACTTTCACTTCTAACTTTCTCTTTTCGTCCAGCTTCTTACCAATTAGAAAATACTCTAAGATGGCATTCTGTGCGTCAAATTAGAGCACTTCATAATTCTCCACAAGTAAATTCTGTCTGAGGACCCTTCTGAGGAAGGGTCACCGGACCCGAAACATTAACTCTGTTTTCTCCTCCACAGATGCTGCCAGACCTGCTGAGCTTTTCCAGCAACTTTGTTTTCATTCCTGATTTACAGCATCCGCAGTTCTTTTGGTTTTTATTTAACGAGTAAATTCTGCCATTGTTTCACCAACTCAACTTGCCCCATGACAACTTTCTGCCCATTTTACATGTCTTACTGTGTCACCCCAGGTAAATGACAGAACAGGAGATCCAAGTCTGTTGACCACCAAGTCATTTATAAACACAATGATGATGGTCAACAGAAGAGTTGGGGACTAGACAGGAGCATCCATAGAACAAAGAACAAAGAAAATTACAGCACAGGAACAGGGCCTTCGGCCCACCAAGCCTACGCCAATCCAGATCCTCTATCTAAACCTGTTGCCTATTTTCCAAGAATCTGTATCCCTCTGCTCCCTGCCCATTCATGTATCTGTCTAGATACATCTTAAATGATGCTATTGTGCCCGCCTCTACCACCTCTGCTGGCAACACGTTCCAGGCACCTACCACCCTCTGCCTAAAGAACTTTCCACGCATATCTCCCTTAAACTTTTTCCCTCTCACCTTGAAATCGTGACCCCTAGTAATTGAGTCCCCCACTCTGGGAAAAAGCTTCTTTCTATCCACCCTGTCTATACCTCCCATGATTTTGTAGACCTCAATCAGGTCCCCCCTCAACCTCCGTCTTTCTAATGTAAATAATCCTAATCTACTCAACCTCTCTTCGTAGCTAGCGCCCTCCATACCAGGCAACATCCTGGTGAACCTCCTCTGTACCCTCTCCAAAGCATCCACATCCTTTTGGTAATGTGGCGACCGGAACTGTACGCAGTATTCCAAATGTGGTCGAACATGACCTGCCAACTCTTGTACTCAATATCCCGTCCGATAAATGAAAGCATGCCGTATGCCTTCTTGACCACTCTATCGACCTGCGTTGCCACCTTCAGGGTACAATGGACCTGAACACCCAGATCTCTCTGTGCATCAATTTTCCCCAGGGCTTTTCCATTTACCATATAGTTTGCTCTTGAATTGGATCTTCCAAAATGCATCACCTCGGTGGACAGGAAAATGTCTATGAATATTATTTGTATGGTCCTCCAGGAGACATTTGATTAAATCCCTCATAGAGAATTAAGGAATTGGAGGGTCAAATTTCAGTAGCACATATGTGATGGGAGAGTGGAACTTCAATAAGGAAACTGGATTCTATAGGGCTGAATTACTTATTTCCTTTGAAAGTATGTGCAACTTGGTGTTAATAGCTTAGTGGAACTATCACTGGACTATTAATCCAGATAGCCAGGAAACATTTTGGGGACCCAAGTTCGAATCCTGCCACAGCAGATGTTGGAATTTGAATTCAATAAATATTTGGAATTGAGTCTAATGATGACCATGAAACCATTTTCAGTTGTTGGAAACAAACCCATCTGGTTCACTAACGTCCTTTGGGGAAGGAAAATGCCATCCTTACCTGGTCTGGCCTACATGTGACTCCAGACCCACAGCAATGTGGTTGACTCTGAACTGCCCTCTGGGATTAGGAATGGGCAATAGCCAGTAACACCCTCATCCCATGAATCAATTTTAAAAAATCGCGATATTAATTATCCAGAACAAAACCAATTTTATTTTACAAAGCCTTCATGAGTTTTGAGTGGGAGCCAATGCTAGTCAGCGAGCGATGGGTGAACAGTTAAGAATAAGTATGAAGTTTTGGATGGTCTTAAATTTCCAAAATAGAATGTGGGAGAGCAGCCAAGAGTTTCTGCTGAGGCAAGGGCCAAGTTAGGTGAGGTAATGAAGCTGGAAATAGGCAATCTTGGTGATGGCATGGATAACTGATTGGAAATGTAAGACTGCGCACTCTTTCATGGACTTTAATGCGTAAACATTTATTCAAACTTCAGGATTATGTAGCAAGGCCAGAACACTTTTTTCCGGTAAAACTGAAGCGGTGAATGCTGTAGTTGTTTTTTTCCCCACAGATTGGACAATTTTAAGTAAACAAACTCAAGAATGTCGAGATCTGGCCCTGAGGGTCATGAATGATTTAACAAAGAGAATCGGTAGAACGTCACTGGACTGTGAAAATTTAAGTATGGTGGCTAACAGAAAGATGATCTTTTATCTCATGGTTTACGCAAAGAATCCAAATATCTTCGGGGAGGCGATGACCTAGTGGTATTATTGCTGGACTGTTAATCCAGAGACCCAGATAACGTTTCAGGGACCCGGGTTCGAATCCCGCCATGGCAGATGGTGGGATTTGAATTCAACAAAATATCTGGAATTAAGAATCTAATGATGACCATGAATCCATTGTCGATTGTCAGAAAAACCCATCTGGTTCACAAATGTCCTTTAGGGAACAAAAATGCCATCCTTACCTGGTCAGGCCTACACATGTACTCCAGACCCACAGCAATGTGGTTGACTCTTAATTGCCCTCTGGGCAATTAGGGATGGGCAATAAATGCTGCCTGGCCAGCAACACCCTCATCCCATGAATGAATAAAGAAGAGAAAAATACGAAGTCTTTGCTTAAGCTTAAAGTGAAGAGGTAGACCCGTGCAAGCTTTATGTGTATTCCAGGATTACCGTGTGACAGTGTCTATCATTTGCTGAGTTTCAAATCAAAGAATGTCATTACAGAAATCTTTGTCTCAAGTTGTCCATGTTTCTGAACTCCAGACACCAAGTAAAACCTTGCAAAACTTACCTCAATCTTAAACAGGACATCAAGTGGTAGGGATGGACCAAAATGAACACAAGCAAAATAATAATGATATAAATAATGGCACCAGAGACTAATCCCCAGGCCCAGAAATCCACTATTGCAGGATTTGAAGATAGGTAGAGAACAATGCAGATGCCTAAAGTTGTCTCCACCTGGCAACTATTCCTTTCAATTAGAAACTTCCAAAGAATAGGTTCATCACACCTGACATATTTGAAGTGGTGACTAAAGTGGTGGACAGGAAAATGTCTATGACTATTACTTGTATGGTCTTCCAGGAGACATTTGATTAACTCCCTCAAAAAAAGAGGCTCCTTGTTAAAAGTTGCAGCTTGTTGAAGTGAAGGCAAATTAGCTGAGTGGCAGGAGACCAAGATTAAGGTTAATGGGAACATACTGTGATTGGCAGCATGGGACTGCAATTAAATGATAAAAGATGGGATAGAAAGACTCATGTGCAAGTTTATCGTTGACACAAAGAGGCATTAGGAGAATAGCTGCTAAGATTCTGTAGTATTAATAGATAAGTGAATAGAAAGAAACTGCGATAAATGAATTTCAATATAGGCCAGTGAGTTCATCCATTTCAGACCCTAACAAGGATAAATCAAATACATTTCTAGTTGTTTGGGAAGACAACAGTTCCTGGGTTTCTGCTCTTAATTCTTGAATAACATGCCTGCTAAAGAAATGCATGTTGCACTGTTACTCAGCAAGTACAGGACTGGACTTGGTGACAACAAACTCCTTGATTAAACAACTAATTGAGTCGACAAAGCTCATACATAGTTAGTGGCTGTATTCATGGAAGCAGTGGGTTGGGTTGGTAAACAGTGGACTGGGGGAAGAAAGCAGGGTCTGGCCATTTCCTTTATGTTAAATCATATGGAGGGTGTTGAGAACTTGAAATTGAGGCCCTGAACTGATCAGGGAGATTGGCCCATCATACAGTGAATGCACCCTGCTGGTCACACAGCAAGGGAGCACCTTCTATTAGCACTCCTTGAGATTTGTAATGAAAATACAGCAGCAGCAAGGTGACAGGTTCTTGGCCTTTGGCAGTCTGCATTAGTGTTGATCTGGATTTGAGACGAATAACCATGATTCCTCGATCAGTTGTGTGACTAAGTCTATTCTTCCCATGCACCAAACATTGGAATAGTCAGGGTCTCATTTATAAACTCCGAGGTCAGGAAGATCTGTTGTAAAGCACTTTATGAAAAGTATGGTCTTCCCATCAGTCTCTGTGACAGACTGTCAGACCTGGTATTGCCCCGGATTCATGCAAGTCTGTCATGATACCTCAGAGACACTAACTCTGACTGACAAGTCACTTTCTAGAGACACATGGCAAGCCTGCTAATCTATTGCTTCACACACCAACATTCGCATTGAATCCCACAATGGTTAGTCCATTTAAGCCAATTTTGGTTCACTCGGGGCAGGAGGGAGGCAAAATCCAACGCTGTACCAGCAACATTTCAAAGTGGTCTGGACAAAACCCAACTCAGAGGAACTTTGGAGCAATCAAATTATGAATTCCTACCTGCCCAGGTCATCTGAGAAGTTGATGCCTTCACTCATTTTTCCCCCAACCACAGAGAAGAGCAGGCCCCCGGTGACTAGGCCTGGAGAGCGACTCGAATGCTGCAGGACACCAGAAAATAAAGTAACTACTGCAGCCAAAGTTCCAAATATTAACCCCTTATCATCAATAACATGGATCAATCTGCTTCTTCTCAGTCTTTGTTCCTGTCCAATCATATCAATGACCTGGAACCCTATTGTTATGTATGTAGTTGAGGGTGCTGCTCCTTTAAGAGAGCTGGTCAGGTGACCTGATGGAGGGCAAAAGCTTGGGCTGTCTACAACAGGCTGTGGAAGTATCAGCATCATGAATAGGGATGTTCCTGTTCAGATCTACCATTTGTCTACCTGGTATATAAAACCTGGTTCCAAAGGAAGTACCAATATAGCACTTATCATCTCAAGCAACTTGAATCATGACTGACTTTGGGGCAGGTGATGGCGTAGTGTTATTATCTATTAATCCAGAAGCCCAGATGGTGAGATTTGAACTCAAGAAAGAAAAAAATCCTGAAATTAAGAGTCTAATGCTCACCATAAAACCATTGCTCATTGTTGACAAAACCCATCTGGTTCACTAATGTTCTTTAGGGAAGGAAATTTGTAACCTATCTGGACAGCTACATGTCGCTCCAACCCACAGCAATGCAGTTGATGCTTAAGCAATTAGGGATGGGCAATAAATGCTGGCCCAGCCTGTGATTCCCACATCCAGTGAATGAATCTTGCAAAACAAGAATACAAACTTTTCTTTGTAGGTGCTGATTCTCATTCTGGGGTATAGGTCAGCCCATTGGTACCTTGCCCAGATTGTCCAATTGTGAGAGTAAGAGTTACTGCCCAGTCTTGTCCTCAAACAGCATCTACACTCCTGCTACATACCTGGATACACCTAGAGTATTCGGACAGCACCTGCTCCACTTGATTGGCATTTTTTGGTTCCTGGAATATCTACAGCATCAAATTAAAGCATAAAAGTAGGTTAGGTAACAGAAACCACTTCCAAAGTCAAATATTGATCCAGCCAGAATCAAAGTAATTCACATAGCAACAAGTACAGCGCAGATCTGGTGTGATTACAAACTAAACAATGGGTCTGAGATTCGCATTCAGCAAAGACAAAGCAGACCGCTCTCCCACACTGCCATCCCAACGTCACATTTTCACACTCATTCTCTGCTCTGGCACCACATTTCCACATCCACTCCCCAACAGACAAAGCATCCCCACTCTACACTATACTTGTATGGACATCTTAGTGTTCAGTTTGTTACCTAAACAATTTACAGCCTTCAATTCAAAGCTGGTTTTCACTTGATATCAGTCACCATCAGTAACAATAAGAGACTGCATTGACAGCTATTGGGTAGGGGAGAATGAAAACTTGGCTGAAGAGTAAGTTCAGGGAGACAATTCCTGAGGGGACTGAAGGTTCTTCCATCAAGGCAAGTTGTGATTGTGATTGGGGGGGGGGGGGGGGGGGGG